CCTTATGTTATACCAACTGAAAGTTACTTGTCTGTGTACTTGATACCACCTAACAGTATACTTAAAAATGGTTAAACAAAATAATACTTTCTCATAATAAAAAAAAACAAAGCCTTACTTGTCTAGGTCATATAATGTATGTGAAATTCGTACAATGACTTCTACTCCAGCTTCAGTAGCCAGTTTCTTAATAGCTGCGTCTCTTTCCTTTCCAAAGGGCTCAGAATCATACTCAATTGAAAGTTTAGTAATGTTCCATTCCTAAAACAGGAAAAAAGAGCAACAATGTTTACTGTATTATAATTATTTTCCTATCATAACAATAGGTAAAAAGCTCAAAATCCACATATCAAATATATCAAATTTCAAATATGCTTGAGGAAAATATACAATTTATCAATATGAAATACGCAAATGAAAAATATATATATAAGTAGATTTCAGGCATTAAGCAAGATAGTAACTAATCTAGCAACATACTTAAAGCCTGCTCTTACACCAAAATGCTTATATAGCATTTTTTTTCAAATTACTTACCCTTACATTATCTTAATTCTCAAAATAACCTCAGAGTTTGGCACTTGGTTGGTATTCCATTTGCATATAAAAGTTATTATGTTTTAAATGGGACTTGCTCAAGTTCACAGTGACAGAAGACCTGAACTGATACCTGCTGATTCTAAGAACTGTTCTTTAACAAACCTTTGATAGCTGATATGGTATAAAATGCTTTTCTGAAGCAGGGCATGGTGACACATGCCTTTAATCCCAGGGAGGCAGAGGAAGGCAAATCTGTGTGAGATCCAGGCCAGCCTGCTCTACAAAGGGAGTTCCAGGCCAGCTGGAGCTATAGGGGAGACCAAAACAAAACAAAGCAAAAGAGAAAGAAAAAGAATGTTTTCTGAGAATATAAATATTTTATTTCTGATTATTCAAAATGTTAACAACAAAACATTTGAAGCTAATAATAACAACATCAGCTATTTACTGAGTGTTTATTGCATCAGTAATATACATCTCCTTATAGTGATTTTAAATAAGGGAAATATAAGAGAATTAAGTAATTTTCTTAGGAGGTAGTGAAGATTTTTTTATATTCTGAAATCTACTCTGATAACTTCAAAAAGAAAAACATTATCCATAATTCTACCATTATTTAACTATTATAACACATTGTAATAAATTAAAGACTGTTCCCAGTGGTGGCTTTAAAATGCTATTGTAAAATTCAGTCTATTACTTTTATCTTTATGAATACATTTTATTAATTTTTAAAAAAGAATTTAAAAATTTCTATGTATGTTTGTGTATATGCCATATGTATACAGGTACCACAGAGGCCAGAAGAGGGTGTCAGATCCCTTGGAGCTGGAGTTACAGGCAGTTGTGGGCTGCCTGATATGGGTGTTGGGATCTGAATTCAGGTCCCTGGAAGAGCAGGAAGAGCTCTTAACTGCTGAGCCATCTGTCCGGCTGTATGCATACATTTAAATATATTTAGGCATTTATTCTATTTTTCCTAGAAATAAATCCTTGAGAAACAACTGATGGGTCAAAAATAAGCACATTTAAGGTTCTTATAGACTGGCAAATTGTCAACAATATCAATTTAGACTTCCATCAGTACTACATGAAAGTGCTTGCCAATAATATGTACAATTGCCAATTATAATATTCATAATCTGTTTTAAAATATTTGCTAAACTACTAGGAGAAAAAAGAATTTGAAAGTTTTCCCTTTCTTGAAAGTCTTGAAGAATGTAACAACTGGCATAGCTATTACCTTCAAGAAGAACTTGGAAAAATAAACAAGAAACTACTAGTTTTGCTGCCTCGTTCAGATTTACCAGTATAAATACATATTTCTGAAATTTAAAAATAAAATTAATATGTATTTCTCATATATTTATTTCTAATCCCATATATACATTTGTTTGTTTCCTAGTGAGGCAGTAGAGAGAAGCAGTCAGAAAACACAGGATTCACAGCTGGGACCTCCTGAGTGAGGAGGGACCTCCTGTTCAGTTTCTCAGGCAAAGTGCTAAACTCCCCATGCCTGTTTCCTAATCTATGGAGTGGGCAACATAGACTTTAGATGACTAGAAAGAGTGTAGCACATAATAAACTCTAAGTATCATTACTTCCATCTGTGTATTTCTTCTTTTGTGGCTTGTAGCTTATGTTTTCCTTTTGTCATAGTCAATCTCGTGGACTTGTCAGTGCTCCTTTTATTTTAAACATAGCAACCCTTTATCATACAAGTTATGAATACCTTTTTTATAACCTAGTATCTTGAAATTCTATGTATTCTTTTTGGTCTTTTTGAAGCAGGGTCTCCCTGTAGCCCCAGCTGTCCTGGAACTCACTATGTAGACCAGGCTGGCCTTGAACTCACAGAGATCCTCCTGACTCTGCCTCCCAAGTGCTGGGACTAGAGGCATGTGTCACCATGCCCGGCCCTTAAAAATATTTATTATTTTTATTTTATGTGTATGAGTGTGTTGCCTGTATGTATGTAAATGTACCTGTGTCATGCAATGCCCATGGAGGTCAGAAGAGAGCAATGGATCCCCTGGAACTGGAGTTATGGACAGCTGTTAGCCACCATGTGGGTGCTGGGAACTGAACCTGGGCCCTCTGCAACAGCGGCCAGTTCTCTTAACTGCTGAGCCATTTCTCCAGCCCCAATTCTATGTACTTTCTGTGTTCAGTCACAATTCAGAGAGAGCTAAAGGTCAAAATATTAAATTAGTAAAGTAGAATTGGAGAAAATATTATCAAGTTTAAGGGCACATTAAAAACCTGCTATATTCACATGGTAATTAAAAGTACCAGACTGGTGAAACTAATCTCGGATGTTTAACAGCCATACTTTGAGGCCTATACTAATCTAGTCTGAGGGACATAAAGGACAGCTTTTGCTCCTTGCCCTCCCAGGTCAACTAAGTTCCAGGGGACTATGGAGCATCTCCCAAAATGTTCTGTAACTGTGGTGAGTTACCTGTCCTCTCATTCAGGGAGGCCATGGAGACCCCACCAGGTGGACTTGAACCAGTGTCCAGTCTATAAAGAGGAGGGTCAATAGAGAGAAAACATTTCCTCCATGCTTCCAAGTGAAGCCAGTCACGGTTGAGCAGGACCTTTGACTTATCTTCATATAGACGGCACTGGTAAAAGAAAGGAGCCAGGGGCTCTTCCTAAGCCCATGTGACGCCTGAGGAACAGATCCTCAAACGACCTTGAGAGTAAAAATAAATTGGTTTATTTGGGCCAACTGTTTGGTTTTAAACACCCAAAAGCAAAGTATAACCAAAGATTAAAGTGATCAGTATATTTCTTTAAGAGTCAATGTGTACAGCTAAGGCTATATAATAAGAAACAATGCCAGACAGGAGATACTTTCCTTTGAGTGTTGGCCAGGGTGGCCCAAGAGAATCCCAGACAGTAACCCAACATAGAACTGGGAAAATGAACAGCGGACCCCAATCTTATCTTAAAGGAATGTTGGCAACTGATTACTGCTAGATGAGGAAGAGCTGATCTTCCTAAAACAAGGGACTCTAGATAGGCTGACTAGACTCAGCAGATAGACTTGCACTGGAGAATGGCTGGGGGCACTGACAACACAGTGGACAGTAATGGGGATGACAGAGTATATGAGCTCCAGTGCTGGGGGTGGATTATGGAAGGGTACCATTTGGGATGCAGGTATAAAGATGAATAAGATTGTTTGGGATGTTCTGTATAAAATAAACACAAAAATCAATCAATAAAAAAAAACCTGCTATAATATAAACCCATAAAACACATCAGTGTTTAATGTTATCTACTCTACCAATCAAAAGGAGCTCCTCCTTTGTAGTGTGTGTTGCCCATCAAAGATTTAATATCTCAAAAAAGAGAACATCATACATGTGGAGGAGAAAAGAATTGTCTGAGCTATACTCACCCAGTTCTTTTAAAAAATGTATTTTTAAAAAATATTTTATGTGTATGAGTGTCTTGCTTGCATGTGTATAAGTGCACCTGTGTTGTGCAATGCTAGTGAAGGTCAGAAGAGGGCACTGGATCCTCTGGAACTGGAGTTACTGATGGTTGTTAGCTGCTATCTGGGTGCTGGGAGTCGAACCCAGGTCCTCTGCAAGAACAGCCATCTCTCCAGTCCCTTTTAAAAATATTTTATTTATTATTTTTATTTTATGTGTATGAGTGTACTGCCTGTATGTATGTATAAGTGCAGCCATGTCAAGCAATGCCACTGGAAGTCAGAAGAGGGCATCAGATTCCCTGAAACTGGAGTTATTGATGGTTGTTAGCTGCCATGTGGGTGCTGGGAATTGATCCTGGGTCCTCTGCAAGAGCAGTCAGTGTTCTTAACTACTGAGCCACCTCCGCAGCCCACTGACCCAGTTCTTTTTCCTAAACTCACTAACATATCAGTCGTTTGTTCCTTGGGAATAAATTAGTGAACATCTCTACATAAGAAAAATCTTGGAAAAAGAACATTCCCTGTATTAACCCATGCACCAAACATATATAATTCTTTATTTATGTGTATGGGTAGCCCTGGAGGCTAGAAAAGGGCATGAGATTATCTGGATCTGGATGGAGTTACAGGTAGTTGTGAGCCACCCAATGCAGGTGCTGCAAGTTGAACTCAGATCCTCTGGAAGAACAGTTAAGTGCTCTTAACCAATGAGCTATCTCTCTCCAGCCCCTCTAATTCTTATTATAGACCAGATAGTATGCTAGATTCCTTCCTCCTGGGACTTATGGAAGAAGACTCATGATACTGAGTAATTTGTATTAATAAATACAAAACTATCAGGAAAAAGAATGCTATAAAGGTGAGTATACTAACACGGGATGGGATAGTAAGTTAATTATCTATCCTTTCTCTTCCACAATTACACTAGTTAGATTTCTAGTACATGGTAAAAACAAGTGTCCTTGTGGTGGACAACATTCAGAATTTTACCACCAAGCATGATTTTGTGTTTTCTTGTCAACACCCTTTGCCAAATTGTTATTTAGTGCTTTTCTATTCTTGGTCATTTAACAGTTATCTTTTTTCTTTAAAGTTGTAAATGGAAAAAAATAGTCAGAAATGGGCACTGAATTCTGTCAAGCACCTTTTCTTTATTATTGAGATAATTTCATAGGATGGATTATGTGAACTGATTTTTGGAATGCTGAACCAACTTTATATTCTTACCACAAACCTCACTTGATCATGATATAGAATTACTTAATATTTCTAGATTCAATTTGTTAATATATTATTAAGGATTTCTGAGTTTATGAGTAATGCTCTTTAAGAATTTTTGTTTTGTTTTCTACAAGTGATTTAATGGGTATGAGTGCTTTGCTTATATATATGTAAGTGCACCCATGTGTGCAATACCCACAGAGGCCAGAGAGGGCATCAAATTCTCAGGAACTGGAGTTACTGATGGTTGTTAGCCATCATGTGGGTGCTGGGAACTGAACCTGGGTCCTCTGCAAGAGCAACCAGTGCTCCTAACTGAGCCAGTCTCAGGAAACTTTTTCATTTCACCTCAACTGTATTATTTGTTGGCCTTATAGTATTGATAGTATTTATGTTTGTAAATTTTGCACAATCTGTGCGGTATCCTAGTCTTTATTCCTAGTGAAGATAATCTGTGTTTTCTTCGATTTTGCTCTGATTACTATTGCTAGGTATCAGAGCATCACTTCCAAGGACCAGCATTTGGCTTTGCTGACTGGCTTAACTAAGATTCATCAGGCAACAGAAATCATATCATAATTTAAGTAGGAAAATTGCATATTTTTATGTTCTGTAACTATAACCTATCAAAGAGTGATCAACATTTTTTTACAAAGAGTAAAAGAGGAGCTCGGCTATGCTGTCCTGCATGGACAACTTGCAGGAGTCAGTTCTCTCCTTTCAACTATGTGGGTCCCAGGGATCTGTGTGAGATCAAACTCAGGTAGTCAGGCTTGGTGGCGATGGCAAGTGCCTTTACCTGCCAAGCCATCTCACTAGTCCTGTGTAAGGTTATGTAATACAATAAAATGCTATTCTATGCAAAAGAAATTTCAACAAAACTTTAAGAGAGATTTACTTCTTTGAAAAAATTGTTCAAAATCAAAACAAAAATTTTGGTATTTATAACAACCCAAATCTTAGAAGTCATTTTACTTACAGCAAATAAATTTAGAAATAGAGTTAATGCAATTATATTCCCCCCATCACATTCCCAAGTTGTTGATAAAAGTATTACCATTATTCCTGGTATGCTTTTCTTGTCTCTTCCACATACCTAGCTTAAATAAGAATTGCACAGTAGTGAACTGAACAGTCTTTAATGAGTGATACATTTCTACTAGCTGATCTGTTATATTATCCAAATGCTGAACACTGAATACTTCGTACTAGCAAAAAAGAAAGGCTAGGTAACACTGATTTGACTCTAAGCATTGCAGACCTTCTCGGGGAAAGGAACATTCTTTTTGCATTAGCAATAGAAACATTGCTATGATTAAAAAAAATATGATCAATCAAACAGCTGCAAGATAAGCAGATATTCAATCCGGAAACTTAAATGTAGCAAATAGGAGGGAAAACCATGAAAATCAGTCAGGAAAATAATTTTCTTTTCTGAGATACTCAGATAAGCTAATTGTAGAAGTCTGAGCAATTCATTTAGTCTCTCTTGGCCTAATTAATTATTTCATTTGAAAAAGTGGTGGGAATAGGACCAGGAGATTGATGATTCTTTCAAGCCAAAACAAAACAAACCTCCTGAACACTATAATTTTGTATTACTGTTTATGTCAATAATATGATCCTGTGACCCAGAAAGCCTTTGTCTTAGTTTCTTTTCTTGCTGCTGTGATAAAAACTCAGACAAAAGTGATTTAAGGGAGAAAAGGTTTATTCTGGATCACAGTTCCAGTGGGACATCAAGGTGTCAGGAGCTTAAAGTAGCTGATCACATGACACCCACAATCAGGAAGTAGAGAGATGAAAGAATGCTGCTACTCACTTCTTTTTCTCCAACTATACAGTGCAGGATCGTACTTAGGGAATGGTGCCGCCTACAGTAGGAGTGTCTTCCCACCTCAATCAACACTATCAAGATAATCCCTCATGTCATGCTCAGAGGCCTGTTTCCCAGGTGATTCTAAATCTTAAGATGACAACTGAGATCAGCCATCACAGACCTAAGAATTATCTCACAAAGGTCCTAACACATAAGAGCAAAGACACAAAAATGTGAGTAAGGATGTTCACTGACATTATCTGTATTAGTAAGGGGCCTAAGAGAAAGAATAGCTGAATACTGAATAGAAAACCAGCTAAAGAAATCACAGCATACCTACACAAGTTAATATAGAGAGCTACCTAACAGACTGAGGAATATGAAAAGGGTCTTCAAAACACATTATGTGAATAAAGCATGGAACTGAATGCTATATATAATGTGCTCTCATTTTGGCTGTTAAAAAAGAGAACAATTAATAGACACAAACATGTGAATACATAGACACATGTCAATTCCTGTTCATGCAAGAATATTACTATTTGCATATACAAGAAATGTGTTGCTCTAGGAAGGGGGCTAGTAGTTTAAAAAAGAAGGCTTAGAGAGATGGTTCAGTGGTTAAGAGCACTGGCTGCTCTTGCATAGGATCTAGGTTTGGCCTCCAGCACCCACATGATAGCTAACAACCATTTGTAACTGCAGTTCCAGGAGCTCCAGCACCCTCTTCTGGTTCCTGAGGGCATTACATGCATGGGTGCATGTAATGCAGGTAAAACACTCATACAAATAAAAAAAATAATAAAAATTAAAGTAAAAACAAGAACTTTTCATTGTAAACCCTTGTTAATGTCTAATTTTTACCACGTGCAACATTTTCACTAAAGAAAAAAGCCACAAAATTTTTTATTTAAAAATACCTGTATGTATTTCCTACATGTTAGCTAAAAGGTCTTATTTATCAAATATTATCTTCTTTGACAAAGATTATTATTTTATGCATATTTTTAAAATTACCTTGAAAAGCCTGGGAAACACATCAGCTGGCTGACCACGAATTACAAACAGGCGAGAATTTAATTTTCGTAGATTGGCATCAAGATCCTCAAGACACTGAAGCAAAAATCTAGAGAGAAGAAAATATTGGAATTCTTACTGAAATATTTAGAAGGTTAAAGCATTGCAAAACCTGATCACTCGTCAAGTGAAAAATGCCAACTCATCATTTTATTACCATTTACTGATACCATTATTTCCAGAACCCATACTTAGATTGTTTTATTTCATCATAATTCTCAATGTTTTAATCAAGCCCTGAATTAAATCCCTACTTTTCCATGAAATAATTTAGTAAAAATTTAACTTGAATATAAAAAATTATGTGAACAAATATCAAAGCAATTAAATGAACTGATTTGATCATTCAAACCTAGTAAAATGAAATTTTTCCTATGCAAAAATAACTTTTCCTATAAAAAATCTAGAATGCTTTTAATGGGGAGAAAATGGAAACATTCTATTTAATGTCCCTGAACAAGTGAATAATTTAAGAATATGGGGCATGGTTTGGTGCTACACACCAAGAATTCAAGGTCAGCCCCACTATGGAGGAAGTTTGGGGCCAGCTAGGGCTACAGGAGACTGTGTCTCAAAGAACAAAACAAAACAAATGAGCAAATAATAATGAAAGTTTCTACAGAATACTGCAAGGACCTAAGGGAGAGAAATCATACCGCCATTTCTCTAATCTAATAAAGTTTTTAATCTAAGAAAAAGGAGGGCTGGAAAGATAGCTCAGTGGTTAAGAGCACTGGCTGTTATTGCAGAAGACCAAGGTTTGAAACCCAGCACCCAGATGACAGCTAACAACCATCCATAAATTCAGTTCTAGATATCCATCGCCCTCTTCTGTCCTCTACAGGCACTGCCTGACATGGGTGCACTTACATAAAAGTAGGCATAACACTCATATACATAAAATAAAAAGAAACAGGAATAAAAAGGTGCAAAATTATGTGATACTAACTTTTGACTATAGAGAATACTAGATTAATTTGAAACAAACAAAAGGTTTCATGAAGTAGGTGGGACTACCCAGACTTTTTCAATGGGATAAGCACGAGCAAGGTTTGCACATGACAGACATCTGGGAAAATTCTGGAGCAGAAGGAAAGACTGCTTTCTGTGTGGCTTCTAGTATATGAGGAAATTGAGCATTTCCCAGGAATAAATCCAAAAGAAAACTCAACTCTGGAAAGTTCAACTCCATTGTTTGACTATTAATTTCATCTAGATTCTGATCCTCTCAGCTGGACATACCTTATTTCCTGTCTACTTTGCTTTTTCTGTGTCCTTAGGGTTAAAGTTCTTATTTGCCGTTTTCCCCTCAAGATACATGCTCACTGAGACGAGTGATTATGTCTTACTTGTAAGAAGTGGTTAAGTGGGAAGAAAACCATATTCCAGGAATTATACAATATGGTAGCCAGAAGCTAAATGCAGCCATTGGAAGTTAATTAAAATTAAAAATTCAGTTCTTGGTCACACTAGCCACATTTCAAGTCAACAGGCTAGTAGTTATATAATGGACAGCACAGATGTAGAACATTTCTATCACTTCAAAAGCTACAGTATTGTTCTGGAAGCTTGCTTAGTCTAGATTATCTTCTTTGTCCACTCTCATTGCCATCATTTCACCAAAAAAGTCCTGTTGATATTTTTACAATTGTAGTTATTAGTTATGTAAGTGTACTAGTTAGGCTGACACTAATCCCCTGTAGCACGCACCCTCTCTAATAGCTTTGAGTATCACAGTGATATACCCACATGGACATGAAAGACATAACTGTCATTTGATCTTAGGAAGTCTCATTTTTTAAACAAACACAAAATATGTCTCACCACATCATCTCTATGTCTTGGTTTGGAGTTATGTCTTAACACCTGACCCCGACTTCAACTCACCAGTACAATGTCTAAATATTTCGAGAGAGAAGGCTACTGTTACTAGATGCAGAGTGATACAAAACCACTGGAGTTTCCTAAAATTATCAACTATGCAAAAATCTATCAGTAAGCTGTGAAGTTAAGGATGATCCTGAATTTTGGATACTCCTGCTTCTACCTCCTAAATGCTGGGATTATAAGTATACACCACCATGCTGGGTTTTATGAGATGCTAGGGATTGAACCAGGCGTCTCAAGTGTTAGGCAAGCACTCTACCAACTTGGCTATAGCCACAGTCACAAAAAGAAATATTTTACTTTGTTAATAATTTTTGAAGATTGTATGTGTATATGTGGTCTTTTAATTTTATCAATAATTATTTTGGGGTTTTTGAGACAGGGTCTTCCTGTTGCCCCACCTGGCCTGGAGTTTACCATGTAGACCAGGATGGCCTCAATCTCACAGAGATCCACCTATCTCTGCCTCCTAAATGCTGGGATTAAAGGTATGTGCCACCACACCTAGCTATTTTATTAATGATTTAAAAAATATTTTTTTATTTTTATTTTATGTGTATGAGTATATTGCCTGTAGTAAGTATTTAAGTGCATGTGTGTCATGCAATGCCTGCAGAGGTCAGAAGAGGGCATCATGTCCCCTGGAACTGCAGTTAAGGACTTGTTAGTTGCCATGTGGGTGCTGGGAACCGAACTTGGTTCCTCTGCAAGAGTAGCTAGTGCTCTTAACCACTGAGACATCTCTCTAATCCCCTAAAACACCACTCTTAAATATAGCCTCTATTCATTGTTTTGTGAATGCTAAAACAGAATAATTCTAGGCTGCAAAACTTTTTTCATTGTAATATACTACTTCAATCCCTGTTGTTCTGAACATTTTTTCTGTTTTGGTTTATAAATGAGTACTTATTGGAAAAGATTAAATGAAGGGTCAATTATTAGCTAATCCAGACTCAGTTGTTCATCTTATGAATTATGTTCTTTTGATATTTTTCTTTTCTCATCTTACCTCTTATACCTCTTATAGAAGCATTTCCACCACAGAGTTCAATATAAAGAACTTACTACGAGCTCTGTCAGAAAGCATGAAAGGCAATGATACAGCAAAGATTTAGAGATTATATTTGCCTTGGATTTCCTCTTCAGGGTATTTTAGATTTGTACTGTTTCTACATAAACAAACTAGTTATCTACCTCAATTTCTTAATTGTTTAATCTAAAAATCCTTTGATTTTTAAAAAATGTCTTTGATCATCTTTGTTCTATCTAAAATATCTCTTGGGAACTGGTGAGCTGGAGTGGTGGCTCAGTGGTTAGGCCTGTTTGCTGCACTCATGAGGATCAGAGTGTCCTTCACAAGCTTATATCCCAGCATGGTAGGGAGGTAGAAACAGGAGGATTGTGGGGTTTGCTGACTGCCAGTCTAGCAGAGGTGAATGTGAGGTGAAGACAGGTGTATCATTTGAGCTCACTGGTCAGCCAGTCTAGCCAAACTGGTAAATTCCAGGTTCAGTGATTGACGAAAACACCTGACATCAACCTCTGGTCTCTCCACATGCATGTGTACATACATATGCATGTGAACCCATATACACATACCCACGTGTCACATACACATGCATAAACCACACACATATATACACAATAAAAACATACACATATATTTCTTTGATTAAATGAAATTTATATTATATGTATCAACTTATATGTGTTTTAAAGAGCAACTAGAAAGCTACTTATCAAGATATTCATAAAATCTACACTTGAGAAATGGGGGTTTTGGGTAGGGATAAACATGTATTTTTTTAGTGTCATTAAAAAGTTCACTATTTGCCCATAGTAAGCATTACTGTGTGCTATTTAATTCTTTTAATCCCCAACTTGCTAATGAATTCTATTTTTTTGCTACAGTTATTCTAGTTCTTATCTTTTGTTTGTATTTACTACAGTCTTAAAATAGATCTGCTGACCAACAATCTGTGTCCACTATAATCCATTTTCAGTACACAATATCAAATCATTGTGAGACACACTTTATTGTACAAAGGTCTCCAAGAGTCATTCCTTATATAATAAATTATTTTCTCAGCCACCATCTTATGGTTCCAGGTCTGTTTTCACCTCACTCTCCTGCTCCCACTAAACCAAACTGCTACTTTTTTTCCAATAAACATTCACTCTCTTAGAATGTGCTCTTTCCTCAGTCTGGAATAAGTGTCAATTCCTATCTCAAGTTCATATCTTACTAAGCCTAAGTATTATAGCTGAAAAGTAGCTTCTCAATCCTCTGAACTGCCACAGAACATAATGTATCTCATTCTAGCTAAAGTTCAAATTGCTAAACACACAAACACACACCTGACATACACCTGGTGGATTTCAAATTACGTACTTGTGTCTGATTCTTAATTATATGGCTTTCTTAACTTATGTGTTAGTTTCTATATTTGGCAAACCTCATCATATGTCTTACACAGTTTGTTTAAAAGATTAGAAACAGAATATAGGCTTGTCTTATATAACTGCTGAAAGGATTAGAAACAGCATAAAATCAATTAGTAGAATCCCTAGCAATCATAGATAAAATTAAACTGAAGTTATCATTATTTCCCCTTCAGAATAATTTCTATTCTTAAACTGGGCAGAGAGATGCACACTTGTAATTCCAACATTCAAGACATGAAGGAAGAGAATCTCAAGTTCAAGGTCAGCCTGGATTACACAGGCAGATCTGTATAAAAGAGAAAGACAGAAGAAAAAAAAAAAGAATTTCTATTTTTGAAAGCACCATGTATCTCTACATGCAAATACTTGGGCATGACAATAGAAAACAATGAATTGGTTGGATGCCTAGGTCTATACAGAATGTCTTTGAATGTGTAACTTCATCTGAACATGACTTTGAACCAAGGTTTGCTCTTCCCCAGTGATAAGGTAAATAAATGCTAACAGGAATATATTTATTTAAAAGGTAAAATCTAATTAAGATTCTGAATTGACTAATCTTTAAGCCTATAATTCTTCTGTTATAGTACTATAAAAAAAACCTTCACAGTGTTGGTTCAAAGTATCAAGTCACTGAGAGGTGTGTTCCAGAGAACACATCAATTTCAACATTTATATATTAAAACAGGCATTCAACATTAAATAGACAAATACTGT